TACGCAGAGTCAGGGGTTTGAGCTTTCTGGACAGGCTTCCGGTGGGGACTGGTGGCCCAGTTCCACCCACACTGGGTCTAAACTGCCACCTCCTCTCCTGTTGGGTCCGTCTTTCAGGGGTTGGAGGGAAAGGCGCTGGACAGATGACGAGGAAGTGGATTGGGGTTCTGCAACTACGGGTCCTGAATCCAGTGCTATGGAAGCCCTTCGTGACAGGTTTGGGGAGGGGAGTTTTCAGGATGCCCCCTCTTGGCAGCCCTGGGCCACTGGATCGGACCTGTTACAGGGCATGTCTTGGCAAGACAATGGACTTTCCAGGTCAGAGGTCCGGTTCCGCATTGCCAGCCCTAAATTTCGAAGGGAACAAGAACCAGGTCGAGCGGACGGCCAGACCGGGGCCTGGGAACACCGGAGGCCAAAGGGGGAGTCCAGCAATAGGGGTTCCGAGCAACCATCGCATAGAAGAGAGGTAGGGGCTGGAAAGAGGGCACAACGTCTTGTGGGAGACCGATTTTGCCCCACTGACAGGAGGACCGTTGGAGACCAAAGGAGTGATGGGGAGAACAGGCTACCTGTTCCGCCTCCAGCGTGGCCTCCAGTTCCTGGGATGTGGGCACCTCAACCCAATTGGGGGCCCCCAGCACTGCAAGCTACATTCGACAGGAGCCCAGACTGTGTGGCATTGTTCCTAAGCCAGGTGATCAGTCATCTAGACCAGTATGGCCGCTGATATCTGTCTCAATGGGCCATGGTGGTGGCCATTACAGTCGTATTCACAGGAGATGCTGCAGATTGGGTGGCTGGTTTACACCGCAATCATGCTAGAGGACTAGTAGATGTGGGCAAGTTCTTGGAGGCCCTCCGTTCTACCTTTGAGGATGAGTCCAGTGAGCAAGTTGCAGAAGGTGATCTTGTGGCCCTTAAACAGAGGGGTTTTCCAGCTAAGGACTATGTACGGGACTTCCGGAAACTTGCTAGTCGCTTAAGGGACTGGCCAGAACGAATGCTAGTCCAGCAGTTTCGTATGGGGTTGGATCGTGAGTTGAGGCAAGCCTGTGCATACCAAGGCCTAGCTCGGTGCTTAGCTGTCTGGTTCAAAGTGGCTATTGAACTGGACATAGCGCTCCAGGAGTTTAGGCCTCGGTCGGAGGTTAATGTGGGACAGAGAAGGACCGCCACGGAGAAGCCAGCGGAGAAGCTCAAACCACGTGACTCCAAACCCCTCTGCCCAGCGCAATCTCGTCTGACAGATCTCAGAGACTGGCCTTCTGTTGTTTCCAGTGCAATCAAGTGGGCCACAGGGCAGCCGAGTGCCCTTTACCACCATTGTGGGTACAACCCCAGAAACAGGCTGCGTGGGTGCCAACCAGGGGTCGACCACGACAGCCGCAAGAACGAACACAAGTGCTCCAAGAACCAAAGACTGTCGTAGACGCCCAGGCCAGGGATGTCATACCAACACCAACGGCGGGGAAGTTCCCAGTGGTGTCAGGCGACAGCGATGATGACGAGCCTGAGGACCCAATGGTGAGCGAACCTGTGTACCCTTTTGTGATACCTGTGGTGCTGAGGAACCCCCACTGCACAACAGGTCTTCAGTATGGAGCTTTAGTAGACACTGGGTGTACCCGTTGCCTGATTCGTAAAGCTGTGGTAGATGCTCTGGGTCTACGGACAAGGCGGCTAAAAGTTCCTGTCAAATTCAAACAGATAGACGGGTCATTGTTGGGGGGGGCGCCCGCTACCCACGTAACAGAACGTTTGTTGTTGGCAGTAGGCGACCATCAGGAGTCCATTCGGTTCATTGTAGTCGAGAAAATGATAGAACCGGTGATCCTGGGTCTGACATGGTTAGATAAGTGGCAACCACACATCTGGTGGGAGGGGGGTTACTGTAAACTCAGGATCCCCCTGGGACCAGCCGTCCCAACCCCCGCCCCTCTGGTTGTACAGCCAGGTGGGGGGCAGGACAGTAGCTGTGCATACACAGAGGTTTCGCATGCACAGGAATTCCGTAACGTTTATCAAGACCTTGCAGCCGTACTTAGTGAGGAGGAATGTGAGGTACTACCCCCCCCCATAGGACCACGGATTGTGCCATCGAGTTGGTGCCTGGAGCTAAATTGCTGAAGCCACTAATGTATTCCATGACCCAACCGGAATTAGCTGAGTTGCGACAATATATCGACAAAAACCTAGCCAGAGGCTTCATCGTCCCTAGTAGATCCAGGATGGCCGCCCCAGTTTTCTTCAGGGAGAAAAAAAGACGGCGGGGTACGTTTGTGCGTTGACTTCCGGGATTTGAATGCGGTGTGTGTAGAATATCTGTATCCTCTTCCACTTATGAAGGATCTTTTAGCCGCGTTATCAACTGGTCGTGTCTTCACAAAGCTCGATTTGCGAGAAGCGTACTACCGGGTTCGGATCAAGCCGGGAGACGAATGGAAGACCACCTTCAATTGTCCCCTCGATAGTTACCAGTATCGGGTTATGCCGTTTGGACTCCAAGGTGCTCCAGCAGTGTTCATGCAGCTTATTAATGAAGTGCTGCATGAGCAACTTTACAGAGGAGTTCTTGTTTACTGACGATATCCTGATCTATACCCACAACTCGGAAGAACACATTAAATTGGTACGTCAGGTTTTGGAGAAACTGTTGGCTGCTAAACTGTTCGTAAAACTCTCAAAATGTGAATTCCATAAGTTGAAAATAGATTACCTCGGTTATAGGATATCGAGCGATGGTATAGAAATGGATCCGCGTAAAGTCCAGGCTCTTGTGGAATGGCAAGCTCCTAAAACAAGGAAACAACTCCAAAGTTTCCTTGGTTTCGCTAATTTCTATTGCCAGTTTGTCCCCGCTTTTGCCACTATAGCTCTACCATTAACGGACCTGTTACGTACTAAACCAACTATGGTAACCCCAAGACTAAGGCAGGTGTTGCAATGGTCAGCCCAATGTCAAAGTGCATTCGAGCAGTTGAATTCTCTTCACCAGAGAACCAGTACTCAAGCATCCTGATCTGTCACGTGAGTTCATCGTTCAGGATGATGCCAGCGATGTTGCTGTGGGAGCAGTGTTGCTGCAAAAGGATGAGCAGAATCAAATACGCCCTTGTGCTTATACCTCATGCAAATTGAACACCACGGAGAGAGGGTGGGCGGTTTGGGAAAAAGAAGCTTTCACCGTCCAATGGGCGTTGATAACTTGGCGTCACATCCTGGAAGGGGCAACCCTCCCATTTGAAGTGTGGACAGACCATAAAAATCTAGAAGCGTTGCAAACGCCTAGGTGTCTATCTCCAAAACAACTAGGCTGGGCACAATCTTTTCGAAGGTTTTCCTTTAAACTCAAATATGTACCAGCAGGGAAGAATTTCCTCACTGATGCGCTATCACGTATATCGCAATACAATAGCAAGCGCAAAGAAGTAGTGGAATCCCTTATACTGCCCATTGGGACTGGACAACGTGTTGCAGCAGCGCTACGAAAAGAATCGTCTTTCTTAACGGACCTACGAATGGCTATCCAACAGGACACGTGGTTAACCCAAAACCAGACATCGGTAGTCCTACGAGACAGATTGGGGTGGAGTGGGGATCAGTTGTACATTCCAGAACCACTCCGAGCGACAGTCCTACGACGGTGTCATGATGCCAAACCAGCAGGTCACTATGGTTTCCTTAAAACTCTTCACCTGATCAGACATCAGTTTTGGTGGCCACGGATGCATGGTGAAATTGAACGATACGTGAAAGAGTGCCCCACATGTGCGGCAGCGAAACCATGGTCAGGGAAGCCGATTGGGTGTTTGCAGCCAGTGGCTGATCCTAGTTATCCGTGGGAGGAGGTGGCAATGGACTTCATAGTGGACCTCCCTTCTAGCAATGGATATACCGTCATCTGGATGGTAGTGGACCTATTTTCAAACCAACGCACTTCATACCCTGTCGAGGTTTACCATCTGCTCGACGGTTGACAGACATGTTCATCCAACATATTTACCGTCTTCATGGAGTCCCGAAGCGAATTATATCAGATCGGGGTGTCCAATTCACCACTCGCTTCTGGAGATCTTTCATCCACCGGATAGGATCTACCCAGGGGTTAAGTTCAGCCTTCCATCCCAGTACAAACGGGGCCGCAGAATGGGCTAATGCCGCAGTGGAACGTTATCTCCATTGTTACGTTTCTTACCAACAAACTGACTGGTCTGCTTTGATCCCGTTCGCTGAAGTCGCGTACAATAACATCAGCCATCGTAGTATGGGATTTTCTCCTTTCCAAATCATCTATGGGAGAGAATTCCCTGCCATACCTGAAGTAGAACCTCCAGCTACAGGTGTAGCTATGCCTTCCGGCTGGGCAGACAAAATCCAACAAACGTGGCCAGAGGTTAAGGCTGCTCTACAAAAAGCAGCGAGTGAATACAAACTGTATATCGATAAAAAAAGAGCAGACCCAAAGCTGTTTTCAGTGGGGGATCAGGTTTATTTATCAACCAAATATTTAAAACTATGGTTGCCTAGTAAAAAATTAGGGCCCAAATATATAGGTCCTTTCCTATAACACGCGTGATCAACCCTGTCACTGTAGTGCTCAAATTACCTTCACTGTTAGGAAAAGTATACCCTGTTTTTCATAGCAGCCTCCTAAAGCCCGTCAGTGTGGATAGAGCTACGACTCAGCCTGACCCACCAGGACCAAGCCATACTGACCAGTATGAGATAGATAAAGTGTTAGGAGCCTGGAGGAGTCTCCCAAGCTAGAGCAGGGCCCAAAAGGTGGCTGAGCCTCATGTGTCCCACCGAGGTGGCCCTTCGGCTGAGTGCAGCAAGCCCGGAGAGGATCTTCCTTCCCCACCATCAGCCTTACCTTCCAGCCCATGGGGCTTGCACCATTCTCCCAGTGGAGACTTGCGCTTGGCCAAAGCACATGGGGCAGTGGGCAGGTGAGGGAGGGGTGGCTGGCAGAGGGGCAATGTGAGTGGCATAGCCTCATGCTCCTTGGTTGCCTCCTGCCCCTGCCCATTGAGAGGCGAGGCCCAGAATCCAGGCGGGTGGCGAAATGTGGGCTGGCAGGGAGCCGAGCAGTGACGGCTCAGCCCTGGCTCACCTTCCCCTCTGCCACAAGCTCTGGGAAGAAGGTAAGGTTACAGCCAGCCAGGAAAGCCAAACCGCTGCCCAGCCCAGAGCTGCTGGCGGGGGTGGGTGAGGCTGCAGTGTGCGCCTCCCGTGAAGTTCTCAGCCCTTTGTTTGAAAATCTCCCCAAAAGAGGGAGGAGAGGAAGTCCCACCCCCGGCCTCACTGTTGGACCCAGAAGTCTTGCCTGCTGGCCTTTCTGGGCAATGTGGTGCTGGGCGCGATCGTCCCTTCACACCCGGTCCCCAGGAGATTGGCCAGGAGTCTGTCAGCTTGGGCTGGCTCAGGAGGTCGGAGTGGCCACCAGACCTATGCTGGGATCACTGCTCAGGATGAAGCCAGGCCTTCTATACCTGTGGCAGGCTGCTCTTGCTTGGGTGGCTCCAAAATTAAATGCTTCCTTTTCTTACAAGTACATACAAACATCATTAAAGGGAGAAATGATGAGTGAAGGAGAAGGGAAGTTCTGTAAGCAGAAAAACTGAGAATGAAAACAATGTATTCTAGTTAAATTAGAAGTTGTTTGTTGTGAAGGATCTGTGAAAGTTTTGGAATATTGCAATAAGGCCCAAGGAAAAAAAAATATAGCAGAAAGATTTAATTAAAAGAGAAGAGAAAGAGTGGTAAGACATCCACTGCTTTGAAAATGCTTTTCAGGGAGGACAAAAGACAAACTCCTTTAAAGCTGGTGGAGAGGAAGTCGGCCTTTAAGGCAGATAGGAGCAATGGCGGCCGTCTAGAGGGAAGCAAAGAGTGAAGATAGAGGTTTCGAATGGCAGATCGAAATAAACCCAAAGGAGGAATCGGAATAACACGGAGAAGCGCGGACTGAGGTGGGGTGCAAAAAGGATGGACTAACAAGCGGTGGAGGATTAAAGAGGAAGCGCAGCAGGAGAGAAAAGAGAACAGCGCGGGGGAAGGAGGAACCCAGCGAGTGAGTCAGCAGAATCGGAGGAGTGACAGGCTTAAGACCCTGAGACGGAGACGGAGAGAATTGGAGAGGGTGAAAAAATGGAGAAATTAAATAATTCTAAAAGGTAAAGAAGAAATTAAGGAACTTTTGAAAAATTTGTGGGACTTAAAGTGTGATTGGTGACTGTAACGGACTTAAGGAGAGAGACTGAGATTGGAAAGAGGACTGACGTTATTGCACGATAGAAAATAACTACAATTACAACTAGAAGCAAGATTGGAGAAGAGAAGGAGCATCAAATAACAACAACGAAAGAATAAAATATATACTCTTATTCCTATATATAAAATATATATACATAAACAGTAAAAAGTAAGGGGGAAAAAAAGAACTGAATTACAGTTAACATTATTTATTGTATTATGAATTTATAAAGTTTGAAAAGGTGGAATGCTAAAGAGGATAAGGAATTAAAGAAGAAAAGAGAATTATTAATTTTATAATTACGGAATATAAAAGAAAAGTATATTAATTATAATTACATTGATTGGAAAAATTGTAAAGTAATAATTGAGAATTTTCAAGATAATTAATTATATTGTGATATTGTTAGAGGCTTAAAGTATTATGCTGTAGTGTATATTTACATAAATAAAATAATTGGAAACATATATAAGATAAAGATGTGTGTATTTAAGATTGTGTTGAATAAGCAAACGGTAGAGAAAAAAGTATAAGTATATCCCCCCCCAAAGTAAATAAAACAGGGGGAGAAAGATCAACAATTAATATTTATATGTTAGTGTGGGAAAATTTCACACGAGCATTAAAAAAGTCAACTATAACCACTATAGAGAAAACAGGAAAAAAACCAACTGTAAATCCTACAACAACAGTTGCATCACCACTATAACAAAGAACAATAGACAACATGATAGGAAAAGAAAAAGCAAAACTGGAAATGACACTAAATGCTATGCAGAATATGTTTCAAATGATTTAAGAAACGTTATTAAAAACACAAGAAAAAATGGTGGATAATCATGAAGAAATTTCTGTTTCATGCAGAAATCAAAAATGAAATAGGAGAAGTAAAAGAGGACATTAAAAATATGAATGATAAAATTGGGGATATCCAACAAACAATAACAGAAAACGAACAAAGAATTAAAAAAGCAGAAACTAAAATAGACCAAGTAGAGACAAAAGTGGAGGCAATGGAGCAAAAAGCTTTTCAACTAAATAAGGAATTGTCTGACTCAATAGCGATGCTCAAGATGGAGAAAGCTTCATACTTCTTGCGCTTTCAAAATATAATAGAAGAAAAACATGAAGACTTGGGAGAAAAAATGGCGGAGATAGTGTCAGAAATAATACAAAGAGACAAATCAGAAATAAAAGGACAGTTGGACGAAATATATCGGGTACATACTAATTACATAAGAAGACCAACTGGCGAGGGAAGCGCATGTTAGATTCTCTAAACAAACAATTAGAGATGAAGAAAATCAAGAGAAGAAACTTTGACATACAAGGGTAAGGAAATCATAATTTTAAAGCAAATACCTCAAAGAACTAGAAACCAACGCCAACAATACCAGTTCTTAACAACCCAATTGATCAGATATAAAATAATGTTTAGATGGCTAGCACCGGATGGGATTTTAATCACATGGCAAGACAAAAAGTATAAAGTAGACACACCAGAGAAAGCAAGAGAATTCTATAACTTGCACTTTACACAGGAAGAGGAACAGGAAAGTAAAGAAAAAACAGAAAGTAGAAGCCAGGAGGAAGAGCAAATAGAAGAAGCGGAGCAAGAGAAAGAAGTAAGAGAGGGTCAAGAAAAAAAACGAGAGGAAAGAGAAGGTTCGAAAGCAAAAAGACGGATGGAGACAAGACACACCAAAAAACAGCTACACTAGGCAATGGAAGAGGCAATCAAACATCTCTCTGAAAATATAAATGGATTAAATGCACCGAAGAAAAGAATGCAAACATTTACAAAACTACAAAAATTAGAAGCGGATGTGATATGCCTCCAGGAGGTACATATCAAAAAAGGATATAAAATATGCTGCTTGGGACTTGGAGCGGCAAATGGTAACTGGTCCGGGGGGGCAGCCAGATTTTGCTCTCCATTGCGGATGCCAGATCAGCCCCCTGCAAGCTCTCGTCTCTTGAGGAGTGCTCCCTGAAGTGGTGCAGGAAACTTTGGTTGGGCTCCTCGAGAGATGAGAGCTTGCAGGGGCCGATCTGGCATCCGCAATGGAGAGCAAAATCTGGCTGCTCCCCAGACCAGTCACCATTTACTGCTCCGAGTCCCAAGTGGCAGGAGACAAGGGCTGCCTTGCACCACCAGCTGGCGCAAATATACTAAGGCGAATGCTCATGCCACGCAAGTTCAAGTAGTGCTTCGCTCCCACACTTCTTCTAGCCCTTGTTGGTGCTCCGCGCACCTCGGTCTCTCAGGGAGATGCTTGACTTCCTCTCAGCCCCAAGACACTGGCTGGCCCACAAGATGAGAGAGAGAGAGAATGGGAGAGAGAATGAGAGAGAGAGAGAGAGAAAGACAGAGAATCAGAATGAGACAGGGAGAGAAAGAGACAAAGAATGAAAGAGAAAGACAGAATGAAAGAGAGAGAATGAGAATGAGAGAGAGAGAGAGAGAGAGAGAGAGAGACAGAGAGACAGAGAGACAGAGAGAATCAGAGAGAGAGAATCGGAATGAGAGAATCAGAATGAGAGAGAGAGTGGGGGGAGAGAGAGAAAGAGGGGGGAGAGAGAAAGAGAGAATGAGAGAGAAGAAGTGGGGGAAGAAAGGGGGAGCGAGAATGAGAGAGAGTGGGGGAGAGAGAGAGAAAGAAGAGAGAGAAAGAAAGAGAATGAGAGAGAGAGAATGGGGGAGAGAAAGAGGGGGAGAAAGACAGAGAGAGAGAGAAAGAGGGGGGAGGGAGAGAGAAAGAGGGAGAGAGAAAGAGAATGAGAGAGAGAGTGGGGGAAGAGAAAGAGGGGGGAGAAAGAGAATGAGAGAGAGAGAGTAGGGGAGAGAGAGAGAAAGAGGGGGGAGAGAGAAAGAGAGAATGAGGGAGAAAGAGTGGGAGAGAGAGAAAGAGAGAGAAGGAATGAGAAAGAAAGAGAATGGGAGAGAAAGAGTGGAAGAGAAAGAAAGAGAGAGAAAGAGTGGGAGAGAGAGAAGAGAGAGAGGAGGGAGAGTGCCTGAAGGACCCCATCCCGTCACTGGGAGTCCAGGTGCTTCAGCAAGTGGCGCACTGGATTCATATTAGTGGTCCGCAAAATTTAAAATTATGAACTTGGTGGTCCCTGAGGTCCAAAAGTTTGGGGATCCCTGCTCCAGGGAATACTTGTGGAAGATTAAATGTGCAGATTGTGAGGGTTATAACTTTTTGGGATATTTGGCCTTGTGTTTTTCATTTCAAATCATTTTCCCTCTTAAAGAATTTCTTATTCCATAGATTACTGCTATTCTCCCATGTCACATTGCGAGTCTTCTATCTGCATAGCAATGTGTATTTTCTTTGCCTTTGAGGCACTTGTTTGTCTGATATTGGTTTGATACGCGTCCTTTTCCTCTGTTGACTAGTCCTCTCTGCACCTGGACTTCCAGGATGCCATCGGTCCGTTGGTGCGGAGATGTTGGGCTGCTGTCATGTGTGGAATATGGCGGGCTGGCTAGCACGGCAGACTCTAGCAAGATGCCCCTTGCGGTTGCATCTCTGGCACACTGTCTCTTTATATCTGCATGCTGCCCTGACATGCTTTCCCCCACATCAGTGGCTGTCTTTCTTCTGTGTCTGGATATCACTTCTTTTTCTCCCTCTCTGATTGTAGCTGGCAAAAGTCATTTTCCTCTTCCAATGACTTGATTAACTCGTCGCTCCCCTGGTGGACTGCGGAGGATTGGTGTGAAGCTTCCCGCCTTTTGTAGTGCTGCCGCAGATTTGTGCGAAGATTCTGTTGCTCTGGCCTCATCGAGTGCTATCTGTAGAGTGAAGTTAGGCTTTTCTAACAGCTGCTTTTACAAGCTAATGTCCCTCACTCCGCTGATGAGCTGCTCTAGCAACACGTCCT